CGAATTAAAAAAGAACTAGGTAAAGCCGACTAAACAGTCAATGTCTGGCATCCCGTCATTTCCATCTCCTCTTCGGTACAATCGTTACCGACGGTGAGTTGGCGTTTCTCGGTAAACAGAAAAATGCGCTTGTTCGCATAGGCGCAACGACCGGGACGAGTTTCCGATAATGGTGAAATTGAAGCTGTCTTGAACTGAAAATCTGCAAGTGCTATAGAAATTTTCCCTCAAGACTGTTAAAATACGGTATCACTCGATCCCCCTTTCCATTTAAGGTGTCACCCCCGCCCAGGGGGCTGCACGTGTTAACGTGATTTTTTGCCAAAGCTTAAGCTTTTGGGACACTCGTTATATTTGATATAGCTAAAAATATCAATAATGAAGTTATTATTATACAGGGTAACTTCGAAGTTGAGTCATTTATTTTAACAGTGAGTAGATCTGATCAATAGAAATGTTTTTTCCTTTACCATTTTTCTGGTAAAATTAAAGTAACAAAGTTATAGCCCTTTGGAAGTTTGAGTACCGCCCTGTCTCAATAATAATATCATGTGCTCGTGTTTGGCAACAACGGATATAATCCGCCTTATCGGTTCATCGCATCGGAAACAAAAAGCGAAAGAATTTGGAACGATGTTTTTACAATTATTTCATTCAGTTCAGTTATACATACAGTCAGTGTCAGTCGAAGGGTTTATCTCTGGTCAGTCGGTAACGCGTGTGAATAGTGTCTGTTGCGTGGCTCAAACGAAATAAAATATGGCACATGTTTATGCGGATCGGTTTCCCAATCGAGTGCAACCAACCCCTCGTGCCTTTGTTAATGTAGTACAACGGGCTCGTGAATCAGGTGACTTAAGACCTCACAGGGGACCTCACGATCAAATACAGGTCCGCACTGAAATACTTGTCGGGAGGATACTTTATAAAACAAGGTAAAATTTTTTTTTTATTTCTTTTTTTTATTTTTACACACATATTTTGCTTTATCTTCCTTCTACAATCATTATCTGAAAATTAATGACTCAACTTCAAAGTATAAGTAAATTCTAATCGCTAATAATTTTGAAACTTGCTTTCAACAAGGATATGTCCTTACGCTTTGTAGTTTTTACTCTGTGATTCTTTCAAATCCGCTAAACTTAATGGCCCACCCTGTATATAGCGATTTCATAGACAGAATGCATATTAAATTGTAGGGGGGGGTCTATGCGCCTATGTTCTCTTGACAAAAAAAAAATGCGCGGACTTCTGAGTTTGCCGGGTGCTTAAATCTCCACGTTGGCTTCTCGGACACCTGTAATTTCTGATTCCGCTTCTATTTACGTAATTAAAATGAGCCGAATCGCCGGCGGACCAACCGCTACACGTCGTCACTGCTTGCCTCCGATGCTTCGACAGAGTTGTCGGATTACCGTCGTGATTCAGAAGCTCTTGTGTCCACTTGTGTTATGCGGCCAGTTAACACGGGAAGACCCTTCGGACGTTACGAGATCCGGACATTGACGACTCGAAATTTCGCAAAATTGCTGAGTTATCCCACCTTGATGTTAATAATGTGTTGAAGCTCCTCTGAAAGTGTAAAATGATACGATCAATAAACTGTGGGATTTACCAAAAGAAAATCATTGAAAAGGGTTTGGGCTAGGAATGGGCACTCTACCGGAAATTCAAATTACTAGTAAGTGATCAAAATAGTGAAAAAAAGTAGGGACTCGGCAACCAGCAACCAGGCGGTAATCTCAATTTGACCCATCATTTTATCACTCCACGCATTTTAACAGTCCATAACAATTATTAATATCGAAATGAACTGCAACTCTTGATAGCCGAATAAGGTGATTTTTAGATGCAGCAGCAGAGAAATCCGCGGACTTGGCAACGTCGTGTCCGATCTGGCCGCTGTTTTTATCGACATCGATTGTTTATTCCCGTTCGATAATGAAATCGTATTTTCCGGCGTCATTGTGCCCAGCGAGCAGGTAGCCCGTCCGTCCGAGTCGACTGTAAATTGATTTTTTATTCACGGCCAATATCTGAAGCAGATTAGTGGAGACGAAGTAAAAAATCAACGCTACTCGCCAAAGGCCGTACGTTAGCCAGTAAGAGGAAGAGTCTTGAGTCTCGAACTTGGTGGATGTCTTGATTATCGGTAGCGAATTACCGGATACGGTTGTGGAATAGTGATGATGCGACGTTAGATTTTACGTTTGCTCGAGGGAGGAACTTAAATTGGTGAATCGTGTATAAGGCCGCGTTGCCAGACGTACGATAATTATCGTTTCTGTACGATAATTTCAAGTACTGTATGATGTACGATACTATGTGTAGGTGTACGATAATTTTACGAATGAGCCTTTTTACTCTCAGATGTTGAATCGATCTAACAACTACGTTCAATTAACAACAGCAAGCAGTTGTCAGTGTTGCCGCTTGGTAGACAAGCGCGCGTACCTCGCTCTGTATAATGGGTTGCCTATAGCATTACGCGGACTATCTCGGCAAACATTAACGCAGCGTTGCCAGACGTACGGTAATTATCGTTTCTGTACGATAATTTCAAGTACTGTTCGATGTACGATAGTATGTGTAGGATAATAGCTGAGTGTACGATAATTTTGCGAATGAGCTTTTTTACTCGCGGATGTTGAATCAATCTAACAACTACGTTCAATTAACACCAGCAAGCAGCTGTCAGGGTTGCCGCTTGGTAGACAAGCGCGCGTACTCCACTCTGTATAATGGGTTGCCTATAGCATTACGCGGACTATCTCGGGAAACATCAATGCAGCGTTGCCAGACGTACGATAATTATCGTTTCTGTACGATAATTTCAAGTACTGCACGATGTACGATAGTATGTGTAGGATAATAGCTGAATGTACGATAATTTTGCGAATGAGATTTTTTACTCTCAGATGTTGAATCATCTGTGAGGAGGCATTGTTATTGTATCAATAAAGCGAATATCTTGAACAAAATTTCAAAAATGGAGTAATTGAGGTAAGTAAGCTTATGAATATAACATAGTAAATGAAATTTAAATAGATTATGTATAGATAACCATTTCAATTTTATGGAGGCGGTCATATTTTTTCAAGATGCAGATTAATCTGCAACATGAATTTTGAACTTTTCGCAAACGCTTGACAGGTACTGAAATGGTCAAGTAGGAAATAAATTTGTAAAAATACTGATATCCTTTTCGTACTCGGTGAAACCTCTCACACAACACGCGCTTCGAGTATCACTTGCGTCATTTTTAGGCGAGCTACCTAGCTATCGAGACAAAAGCCCTCGTTGTATTCGTGCACCGAACAAAAAACTGTGATGTGCTTTTATTATACAGTAAGTACGTACTCGAGGGTATTTAGGGATAATCTTACATGGCTCTTCAGACAATGGATGGTTTCAACATCGATTGTTTTTTTGAGTGTAAGAAAGGAAAGCACTGTTTAAAAAAATGAACCAAGATATACTCCAGGACATAGATCTTCGAACAAAATCGGAGGAGCGGAAAATTTATACCCAGAAAAAGTAATTTCTTCAATGATTTTTTGGCAATAAGTTAGTCTTATATCAAGAATAAAACAATAAAATTCTCATATTTGGTGGTATTTCCAGTATTTAACGTGTCATGAAAATTTTTTATAATGACTCAATATGTTTATCGGATACGGATTGGATAATTATCTCTATGAAACATTCCAACAAAGATTCCTGTAAGCAGTTGTTAGAAATGGATATAAGGAATTGTTCAACACGCATTTTCTTATTAATTGGACATTACTGATCTTATTTCTAACAATTTCCCATGAACTAATTATAAATGTGTTCTTTCGGAACAGATGGCGCCATCTGTAGTCATTTGTAGCTAGCTTACTTGCTGTGTATAAAGCGGTGCTAAAGAAATCGGAGTATTGATTACAAAAGAGTAGAATAGTATACTAGTTCAGGATATAGATGGCGATACGAGGCCTTATCAGGGTTATTTTAATTAAGGTTTCTTTGCAGCTATTGCAAAGTCGAGTAGGATTTTTTTTATCATTTATTTCATTATTGATATTATTTCTAACAACTTTATAACAGAAACCATACCCATACCTTGCATATTTTGCCTGAAATAAAAATATGTGCTTTTGGTACAGACATCGCCATCTGTAGTGGTTTGTAGCAAGCTCACTTGATGTGTATAAAGCACATCTACTGACACGAAAAGCAACTTATGCTAAATCTACCACAGGAAACTGTGCTTAAAAAATATACAGTTTTTCGGATACCTACTTTACTTTTGAAGAAATTTGAAAATGCCGACTTGTTTACATATATCCCTCTTAACATCGAATTAGAGAATGGACGGTTCATTGTTTCTGGACAATGATACAATATATTGTTAAAAGGTTGTTCAATAAATAGAAAAATTTAGATGCCAAGCATATGAAATCATTATACGCTGGATAAATCAAAGATGCCAAAGTACTTATGCAGCGCTAAACAAGTATTCCAAGGAATCACCATATGTTATCTCGTTTTACCTCTTGTCTTTTTGGCAGTCAAGGGTTACCTACTATAGTAATTGTTTCTGCATTTTATCGGGATGTATAGATGGTTTGACTGACTATCATTATAATAATTTGTGGAAAATGAATAAACCAACATAGTCCATTGTTGATTTCAAGAAATCAATGCTTCTAGGCCTCAGTCTGGTTGATTTGGATTTCTTCAAATATAAAATATCGCTTTAGAAAGTAATTTTATTTTCTTATCAGTGTACAGATTTATGATTCTGTGTCAATATACTCATATACTACATATTAAACAAAATATTGCGTTTTTGTTGTTCTGCAACCAGTATTCTCTTGGCCTGCGTTATGGGTTGCATACCAAATAAATATTAATTTAGAAACTATTTATCAGAGAAGAAAAGCATAGGCGTATCATATAAGCTGAATAAATGAGAAAAAGGTTTTTATGGATATATTTTAGAAATGAAGGAACACTCATCAATCAAGGATATATTTCTAAAAAAGTATAAAAATACAAAGTACTTACAGCTAAATGAGTATTTCAATAAATTAATACAATATATGTACAAGACAGTTAACTATAATCTATAATGCATATAAAATATGTAAGACAAAGTTGTTCACTGATTAATCAAAATACTGATATTTATTTTCGAGAATCAGTGCCCAAACTTCTTCTCTATGACTTGGGGTTTTGAAACGTTTTTTTACAAACATGCATACGGTACAACAAACATGTGAAATGCATGGAAAAAAATTATTGAAATGAAAAAATGACATTGTTGTGTTCTTTTTATAAACGGTGACTCCGATCTGATTTTTTTTTTGCAGATCAAACTGAAATACGCGATTTTCTAGTGATGAATGTTTGTTAAATCCTCCTGCTGATGTCGTATTAGAAATAATATATTGTTGGATTTCAATATATAGAGAGAAATAGACTCATTCAAAATCTATTTGGATGAAGTTTGCAAAAAGAACACATTTCAAAATATATTCATACGACCTTAAGACGAAAGTAACCTCATTTAAGAGTAACACGAATTTTTATTTGAATAACGTTCGAGTCTTAAGCGCTTCAAGCAATGAGAATGAGGTTACTCTCATGATGGCATCAATTCTTTATACACAAAAACAAAATCCATATCCACGTGCCTCTCAAACTTCGTCTATTTCTTGCCTAGAAATCTGAATTGCTCGTGAGGTCGTTCCGCCCATTTCGTGAGGTCTATGCTTGGGATGATTCCTGACCGACACGGAACTCTGGGGTTTCTGGAAAAAAGGTATTCAGATTTTGTCAAAAAATTATTGATTAACGTGTATACGATTTTTCGTGTAATTTAGCAAACGACAACTCGGAAGAAAGGAGAAATAGACGCCGACGGGATTCGAACCCGCATTTCCTCCATCCCGTGAACCCCATCTTTGTACCAAACTGATCGCCCCTCGCATTTTCGATCACATAACGGTGATTTGGGGGATGTTTTTTTTTTTTGGGAAAGTAGCAAGTCTGAAGGATTTTTGTACTTGTTCTAGAGGAATTCTGTCCACCAATATGGCAACGCTGTGGTTTGACAGATCCGCGATACGAACACCTTCCTAGCCGTTTGGATCTGCAGGTTTCTTTTCTAATTAAATGAAATTTGATTTTTATGATTGATAATAATAGAACAGATTACAGCAGGAATGCTGTTGCCAGGCCATTGAAAGCAGCAAATCTAAAATAAATCGCACAGCAATAAATTCAGTTATTTATTTGTTTAACAACAGCCAAAGCCAATTATATTACTTTTTTTATGAAGTTTCTGAGACTTTTCTGGAGTCTGGCAACGTCGCGTGCGTAGTTCTACGTCAACTGTCATACTTCATCCAAAATAACAATTCGACGTGTTGTCAGGGTTGCCATATTGGAGGACGTGTCGCTAAATTTGGGGAATTTTTAATTACATTGAGGAATATTGTCTTGCAGGCAAAATAAAATCGTTTCCTGGGCATTTTCTTTTTTATGTTTGACCCCTTAAAACTGTCCAGTATGAAACAACAATTCCACCCCTTTGTAATATCTTTTGTTTTGTAATGTCCACAATACACAAATCCATGTAGGATCATAGCAGGTAATGTTATTTCGTTTTTGAAAATCAGGTGTTATGAGTAAAAATTAGAATCTTTATGAAGAGGGTTCAATTTTTAATAATTTCGAGAATTTGCTTTCATCGTTTCCGTTAGGGCATATTTAAGAACATTATGGAGCTCGAACATTTTGTCATAAATAAAGGACTACTCGCTATTTCAGGTAACAAATTCGTCGCGAGTATGCTCATCCGGCAGCGGCTAGGACATTTTATACTTGTAAAAACTAGTCATAAGGACAAATATACGGCAAAATATATGAGTGAAATATTCCTAAAAGGCACGTAGAATTACTGAGGTTAAAAGTTAGTAAACATACAGCCAAAAAATTGTGATGTAATAAAAAAATGTATAAGTTGAAATAATGTCAACGATCAGGAATACAAAACTACAAGGTGTCTAAAAAATATCGCAAGGTAAAGTTTTTCTTGCCAGCAAATCTAAAATAAATCGCACAGCAATAAATTTACATAACTTGACCATTTATTTATTTGTTTAGCAACAGCCAAAGCCAATTATATTACTTATTATTTACTACCACCTCATTGACCTTGGGAGTCATCGTAAATTGTTACATCATCGCGTACTGATACGATAAAAACTAGTCACGTATTTTGATTCTAAACAGCACGCTTGCAGAGTTAGAATATTTACTTACATTTCATGATCAGGTAAGACCATAGGATACAGCTGGATCGTGTCTATCAAATCCGTGTTATCACAGATTATTCTGGCCATTCGTGCTTTCCTGATTTCTTGCAGTTGAGCTGGTGTGAAAGAAGACGGTTGATTTGGCAATTCGTACCTACAGAAAAATGAAAATGTCAAAAAGTTGATAAACGTCATATTTTTATAAAGCTCTAGTTTCTCAATTACTTTTAACAACGAAGATTCAATAATATTTACCAGAATCTGTCTCCTCTTCTGGAGTAACTGAACTGCGTTGCTATGATGCAGGCGAAAGTGGGTCCAAGCATACTTCCTGGAAGAGGTCTCTCAGAAACACCTCCAGACCATAGATCCACATCACCTGGATGCCTGTGTTAAGAATAATATACAGGGTCTTAAAACAATGATAGAAACAGTGGAAACAGATCTTTAATTACATTTTTTCTAGCTGATAGGCGTCTTTTATCTGACCTCGACCTTCAAGGTTATGTACAAGGTTTAAAGCTAGAAGTTCGAATCGCGGAAATGATACCCAAGGTGACATGAAATTATAGGAAACAAACATCAAATTTAATAAAAGCATTGTTTGTGCGTAAAAACAGTCTAAAGCTGATCTGAACCATGCAACATAATTCAAGAAAATGATCTAACGTTTGGCAACGCCGCAAGTCACAGCTGCGCTCCGCGCCCTCCCCCACTGTCGCATGCTTATTTACGTATTGGATGGTATTGCACGTCCCCTCTCTCTCTCTCTTCTGGCGTATATCGCTGTATATAGACAAACACAACATCCATGCCCAGCCCGATTACTCAACCACCGATACTCACTCGAAAATGCTGCTGTACTTCCTCACGGTCTCGTTAGGCATAGCGCCGAACAACCCTTCGAAGTTATCCGTCCACGGCAGGCCGCAAAACTTCCTGAACTCCATATACCCGGGCAGTCCGAACTCCCTGCCTCGCTGCATGTTGAAGCTGACCAGATCCATGCCGAACCTGGCGCCAGGTTTTTTGAACAGATGGTTGGTTACTTCTTGGGTGATCGAGTCGTCCATCGCTTGGGCTACTTGATTCATTAGGCCCATGACGTATTCGTCCAAGATGCCCGCTCGATACAAATCGTACGGGCGCCGGATGAGGTCCGACAAGCGTTTTGAAGCTAAAAATAAAAAAAAAAAGTGTCCAGTAGTTTAAATGCCCAGTAGATCGAACATACAGCAGTTCAAATGCCCAGTATCTAAAATATACATTAGTCCAAGTGTCCAGCATTTTAAATGCCCAGTAGTTCAAATGTAGCAGTAGTTCAAACTTTTTTGTTTTTGAAAACGTCACAAATTGTGTCAAACCCGCTGCGTATACGAGGGTTGTCTCAAAATTAGGGTTGCCAAAGCTGTGTGATTGCCGAAATCTGGCAACAGAGTCGTGTTTGTCCGCTCGCCCACCACCGATCCCAACAAGAAGCGACTATGGAGAAAAATACCTTAAACGCCATCGTTTCTGATGGTGAATTCGTTCTTTCGAATAAAGAATTCCTTGCGCTTGAAAAGAATGTGAGCACCTTATCTTTGAAACAATCCTCGTAATTTAAGCTTTCTATTAATTACCCTGTAAATAGTTAGCTGTTGGGTAATAAGGCTTATCATTACTATTATTGTGTATACATGCCTTGAGATGATGTGCTAAAATTTGTTAATTTATGCAAAATATAGTTGTTGGAAATACAACAATTTTTGTGTTGTTGACATGGTGACTAAACAGCCTGGATCCTGTTTATTAAGTGCACAGAGTAAAATACCCATACAAATAATCATGTAGGGTAAGCTTCAGTTTCTAATTATTGAGTTGACATTCAGGTAGATTCCTTCTGTTCTCAATTTTATATTCACGTTGCAAAATATAATACATACCAATGAATTTATGTGCTTTACTCCATCTTTCCACAGCTGTAGGTAGAAGCGAATGTCCGAATCTGTAAGCTGCGGCTGCAAAAGCATCGATTACGCTTGGATTCACGCTGGAATCGTAGCCGTTCCAATAACCCTGAAAATACGCTTATTGAACGCCAAAATAACTATATTTTTATGAAGTTTCTGAGACTTTTCTGAAGTGTGGCAACGTCGCGTGCAATGATGTTGTTCTACGTCAACTGTCATACTTCATCCAAAATGACATATCGACGTTTCGTCAGGGTTGCCATATCGGAGGACGTGTCGCTATATTTGGGGAATTTTTAATTACACGGAGGAATATTGTCTTGCAGGTAAAATAGAATCGTTTTGGGGCAGTTTCTTTTTTATGTTTGATCCCTTAAAACTGTCGAGTATGAAACAACAATTCCACCTTAAGATGGAGGTTAAAATCGCCGACACACATTTTTAATAAAAAAATGTACAAGTTGAAATGATGTCAAAGATCAGGAATACAAAACTACAAAGTTTCTAAAAATTATCCCAAGGTAAGGTTTTTCTTACATCTTTTTGCAACAGCAACCCAAACTTCTCCATAACGTCCTTCCCGAGAAGAATGGGCAGGAACTCGTTGTACGTGATGTGCTGAACGATAGCGATATTGATACGTCTCGCCTCTTGGAAAAGAGTCTCATCGTCCCAATGCGGGTTGACCTCAGCAAGACCTCTGGCTAATCTGTTGTGCTCTCTGGCCATCAAAGTGTGCATCACCGTCAGGATCAGCTGCTCGTTCACTCTTATTTCACCTGAAAAATAGAGTCAAAATTAAGTCAGTTTGAATCAAGTATCTTTTGTGGCTCAGAAATACACAAATTATATTGTTTTCAAAAGAAAATTGTTTATCCTAAAACATGACCTTTTCGTACAAATAACAACGTATTTTAATGTAGAAATGATTACCTGCTTCAAAACAGTACATTGTGGAATTTGGTCTCGTACATCCTTCATCTGGATAGTCCAGCTTCAATGGCAACAGGTCTTTCAGTCCATACTGCTCAAAAGCTGGGTTCATCCTTAACAGTCCACCAACACCTGAACGAAGCTTTCTATGAAAAGAAAAACTCAAGTCAATCAACTTCATTGTAAGTCATACTATACTCAGTTCCGAATGATCATCCATTCCTATTAATATCGACGCTTAGGCAACCAGAGCTGCACCGCCGTGCATCAAGAGCGGTATAGCTGGCGGCCAGATTGCTTGAGCGTTCGACACCGATCGGGAAGCATCGATCGACATCTAGGTAACTTCGATGGAGCGCTGGAAATATCTGGATTGGCCAATTTGAGCATAAAAGCTGCTGCGTCACAAATAAGTAAATAAAATATCACGTATAGTTTTTTACCTGGCAAAGCTTTCTTTAACTCCATACACGGTATTACCGTCCAAAACGCCGGTGAGGGTATTGAAAGGCACCTTGGACCCCAGTCTGCAACCTGGTCTGGCAGACGGGAATGTCCTCACGAAGTCGATGCACTTCACGCCCCACAATCGGTAGAAATAGTCGTCTTCGGGGATGACGATTTCGTTACAGTAAGGGTGTTTCAGGTGTGGCGGTCTGCCGCAGCATTCTTCCGGGTCGTTTTTGCTGAAAGGATCTAGAAAATGGAAATAATTAATTTCATTTATATTAAAGATCGATTTCCAATGGCGTTCGTTAGGGCCTAAACTGTATCATATTATGAGACACCTTATGCAGAGTATCATGTGAATTTAAGGGTAGAGATTTTTCGATGTCACAGAAGGTTTTGTCTGCGTTCAACATCAAATTCTGTTAGGAAAGCGTTGATACTGCAATTTCGATAATAGTAGCGCATAGCTCATCTCATCATATTTGTGCAACAGATATCGATTTGTATATTTCCACAGTTCAGTGCCTTCTCAACTACGAGTCATAAGTGGAGTCCCACAGGGCTCAATTCTTGGGCCAGTTCTTTTCTTCATGAATATCAATGATTTGTCCAGGATGATTAATAGTCATACATCAACTGGACTCCTCTCAGATCAAAGCATAACAACTAAATTGAAAACTTGGTTTACGTCAAATTAACTAGAACTCAATGACAATGAGTCACAGTCAAGTTATCAGTTTATAAACATTACTTTTGTCATACTATTTCATTGATCTTTTGTATACTTTTTTCCTATTTGTCGTTGCTCTTTTTGTTACTGTTACCAAACACGTACTGGGTACTTAGCAATAAATAAACACACTGATCTACTGATACCACCGCTTACGTATTCTGGGACGCCCTGTAAAAACACCAACGTACCTAGCGGAGTCGCTTGAAGGGTAAAGTCGTGATCAATGAACTGTCCCCATGCGATGATCATGATTGTTCCAGCATGATCATGGAAACCTTCGTCAGGATGCATCGTCCTGGATACGACTCTAGATGGTGGCAGGTTCCTTCCTGAGCTTGCTATCCTTGGCTGGTGCATTCCGTCTGAATACAGAGGACCCATCAATCTGGAAACGAAGAAAAAATACTGTTTTTTCACGTCGAATCGGCGTCAGTGATCAAATTGAGGAAAGTGGCCAGCGCGTTCCCCGGATTTAACTCGTCTTGACTTTGTTGTTTGGCGTTTTGTTGAAAGCCAAGCATTCTTTTGAAACTAAGCAGCAGTTGCGAGAATGTGTAATGGAAGCATTTGTTATCAGGAATGTATCGTGATTTTTTTAATCCTACTGTTAGAATATCATATTTATGTTTAGAAAATAATGGCACCCTATTATATATATATTTGTTAATCATGTATTCGTTATTCTAAATATCACTATATTATGCACCATTTTATAACATTTCACCTCATTATGTAGTATAGAAAAATGCTATCAGATACAGGGTGTACTTTTTACATATAAAAAATGAAGTCAATGATGGTTTATCAATAACGAAACGTCGAACACGAAATTTCAAAATACCATCATGCAGTGCCTAAAAAGTGCAAATGAAAGTCCAATTTTTATTGAAGATACCTTTGATTTCTTCAATAATTCGCAGATTTTTTATTTACCTTGTGAACGGCGTGTTTGTCGCTCCCCATGTGGGATGGTCCAAATTCGTACAGAGTCCATCGAATCTTCTGTATTTTCCAGCTACACATTCTACGTTCGCCAAAAATGGCGGACACACTTCACGTATCAACGTTTTACTTGTATCTATCAGAGGCAGACCTTTTTCTATATCCTCGTAGTTCAAACCGTATCTAAAGATTGGAAAAAAACATGAGTTATCAAAAGCAATGCGAAAAACCGAAAACAGTGAAAATGAATATTTTTCTCCTTCATAAGGCACTCACGTTCTGGCCAGATTCATTGAGATATCCAATAGCAATTCACCAACGGACCCAACATCGTGTGGAGACCAATCTCCATGAGGCTGAGAAACACCTACAAAGATAAAAGTATTATAGTTATTCAAGGCACATTCAACATCTAGTATCTACACAAACCACAAATTATTTACGAACAGATCATCGAATTCATCGAGGGAAATAGAATTTTAACCAAATTTCGAGATGGATTAGGAAGAAACACTCAGCTGAATATGCAATACAGATGGTTGTAGAGGACTGGAGGAGATGTATAGACAATAGGAAACATTATACTTCAAAAGGGCGTTTTAAACTTTTGGGATAAGTTACTTATAAAATTCCATCCCTATGCATTTGAAGGATCTGTATTCAAAATTCAACAAAACTGCTTAATTGACAGAAGTCAAAAACAACAGAATCGAATCTACATTATCCAGCTCCAAAAATGTTTCTGCTGGTGTACAGCAAGGTAGCAAACTCGGGCCACTACCATTTATCTTATACATTAATGACGTCTGTAACATTTCAGATATTTTCATTATTATTCAGATGAAAATATAGACACTGCTTTAAAGATGCTAAATTGTGACTTGGCAAAAATCATAAACTGGTTAAATGTAAATAAACTAAAAATGAACGCTTCTAAAACAAAATGTATGCTAATAGGGAAATATGTCACAAATGGTGAAATAATTTAAAAACTTGAATTAATTAAATATTTGGATTTTTTGGAGGATCACTATGGATACCATTATTTCAAAGACTGCAAAAAACAAATTACTTTTACAGGGCTTCTGAAAAAAAAAATTGTTTATAATACAATAATTCTACTGCTTTTCAATGTCAATGTAGCTGTATTCTCAAAATTACAAGTCCTACAAAGTAAAGCAATGAGAATAATATTGAATAACAATAAGGATATATATATATATATATATATATACAGGGTTATCCAAATTAAGTGTCCACCATTGGTAACTTTGTTATTAGTAAAAATACAAAGTTGTTTAAATTAGCAAACTAGTAGCATTTTTAACACTGGTAAAAATGAGAAATAAAAAAAAAACAATTGAGAGTCGTTATTTTGATTTTTTTCAGTAAAATAACATTTTTTTAAATGGAAACCCCTGTATATTATATTTTTTTCTGTTAAAGCATCAAACTTTAAACAAAAAAGTTCATAATGACTTTTCCGCTAAAGTCAAAAATAAAGTCAAAATAACGATAAATATTTTTAATTATTTGCAGTATTATAATATTAAGACGGCTATGAAAACAACATGGCGTTCGCGATTTGACAGCATTAAGATAAGCGACAAATTGTTAAACTGGACATACTCGCAACTAGAAGGCTTTGGAAAACAATGATAAAATCAAATAATGTCAAACATTAGTGTAAATACTTGTTTATAAGCTTTATTGTGTCATTAATTTAAAGAAAAATGTTCTCCCATGAAGAAAAATGTGATATGTTAGAATGCTATTTAGTGTGCAGAAAATCCTCCTTGAGAGCAAGAGAATACTACAGTGAATTATATCCCGCTCGCATTCAACCGTATGAACGATATTTTCTGAGACTTTATCGAAAATTTAGGGGCAACGAAAATGTTTTTGCTAAAACAAGGGCAAAAAAGAATTCATAATAAGCGAGACCACGGAAATTGCAGTTATTGGATATTTTGAAGCTTATCGTGAGAATTCAATAGCAGATATTCTCAAGGACTCTAATTTCAGTTATGGTACTGTTCAAAGGATTTTCAAAAAATACAAATTTATTCCGTATAAGTACCGACCAGTTCAAACGCTTTTGGCAGGGGATCCAGAGAGAAGACTTGTTTTTTGCCATTGGTATCTTAGCTTCTGTCGCCAAAATGTAAATAACTTTCGTTACCTTTTATGGACAGATGAATCAAATTTTTCAAATTCTGGAATGTTTAATAGAAAAAACCACCATTATTGGTCAAGAGAAAATCTTTTGTTAGTACATCCAAGAGGCCCACAAGTCCGTTTCAGTTTCAACGTTTGGTGCGGTATAATTGGTTCAAAAATTGTTGGCCCGTTCTTTTATGAGGGAACCCTAACTGGTGAAAGATATGTGGAATTTATGTCAGAAATTCTGACTAATTTCTTAGACGAATTGGATCTTGTAAGTAGACATCATCTGCATTTTCAGCAAGATGGCGCACCTGCCCACAACTCCAGAGGTACTTATCATTTTCTAAGTACTACTTTTAATGATCAGTGGATAGGAACAAATGGCCCAATACAGTGGCCTCCCAGATCACCAGATCTAAACCCACTTGATTACTTCTTGTGGGGTTACTTAAAGAACCAAATTTACAAGCGAAGGTACGATAACCTTGACGCGTTAAAGACTGCAGTTAGGGAAAAGATAACCCAGATAGATGGTAGGACCATACTTAAGACAGTTCGAGCAGTTGAAAAACGTGCCCAAAAATGTATTGACGAACAAGGTGGTGTTTTCGAGCATCTTCTTTAAAAAAAATTGTTATTGTATTTTGTAAGATTATAAGTTGATGTTGAAAATAAAGTTTGTCGATACAATTTAATTGTTTCAGATTGGAGGCCATAACTTCAACAATTTGTAACCTAGGAGAAAAGTTATTGTAAGCTTTTTTGTTTAAAATTTGATGCTTTAACAGAAAAAAATATAATATACAGGGGTTTCCATTTAAAAAAATGTTATTTTACTGAAAAAAATCAAAATAACGACTCTCAATTGTTTTTTGTTATTTCTCATTTTTACCAGCGTTAAAAATGCTACTAGTTTGCTAATTTAAACAACTTTGTATTTTCACTAATAACAAAGTTACTAATGGTGGACACTTAATTTGGATAACCCTGTATATATATATATATATATACAATATTTTTTTTCATATTTAAAATAAATAATCATCTTTTGCCGCAACATTTAGAACATTAAATAGACCTGAATAATTATTGCCAAAATTATTATATAGATTATAAAATCACAATAGTAATATAACTATCAAATCAATATTTCAGAACGGATTACTTGCATTTAGTAGACTAAATAATAATATAAAGTCTACTTGTAATTTAAAGATGTTTAAAAGAAAATTAACGGAATATTTCATGGACAGAAAAAAGTTTTGTAGTTTTTTAGAAGAATGTAACTGTAGCGATCATGCTAAACAAATATTAAACTATGAAAAAATCTTTTTAAAATGCCTTCACCATGTTTCAAACCACATCCATCCACCTCGTTTTCAAAATTTCTAAAAATCATTTGCCATCTCACTTGGCATATACCTATTAACTACTATTGTTTCCCATTGTTTCAACTTACGCATCCGTTTCCTAGCGTCTAGATATGCAGCGTTGACAGCATCGTATGTTATACACGTTTGATGCCCATTGAATTCTCTGGAAAAAGTACTAGTGTTAAATATTGAATCAGATGTACATAGTATTATTATTATCAAGGTCCGCGAAACAGTAATTTTCCTGGTATACTCCATTTTTAAATGCACTATGCTCAACTTTCCCATAAAATCAATATCTCTATATCGCTTTGATTCATTTATTTGTATTTCCAGATTCTTGACTCCGTCCCTTGTTTTCGTATTTTCCGAAGGCTAATTTTCAAAACATTTCTGCTATCACTCATTGTGACTGAGTTTATTATTAATTTCGGATTTCTACTTCCTTTGGGGTCTCCTAACGCAAATTTGCTTTGCGATCCAGCTCATTGATTATAAATCTTTTGACCTCTATGTCCTATATTCATAAGTTTTTTTTGTTTGAATTTTATCGCAGATAACTCCGCATCTTTCGCTGCAGCTTTGGAAAAAGTAGCAAACCTACTGAAATACCCCCGACTGGTGCACAATTGCGCTGTTGCAGTGTCTATCGGTCGTTGCGCGACGGCTGGAAAGATTCTCGGATCGCATAAAATCGAAACGTTCCTTCGCCGATTCAACTCGACAGCTTCTCGATATAATATAGTTGGCGTTTCTGAAACTGATTTACAACCGACGGTATGCCGTAGTTGAAAGTCGTTTATTATTGTTATAAAGGCGAGATATCGAAAATTACAACTACAAAAACAGAGCGGTGATGAAAGTCCGAGGTGGCTTAGAATCATTGATTCTCAATGGGAAGCAGCTACCATACTAACAGGACTGTTTATAAACAAATCTTAGGTGAAAATCTATCAATTACAACACTTTATTTTCATACATATTCAACGTGTATCACTCACTATTAACATGCTGATATTAATCGTTACAAATAATTATAAATCGCTATCTATTATTATTCATTCATTTCCATTTCATCGACTAGGTACAAACTGTTAATATTTACACCGTTATGGTCTCGTATACGGTATTAACATTGTTTTTTTTCAATCTTCGTGTCAAGTGATGTAACGCTATACGGCGATTCCATTACATAAGCGATATTCTTTAATGTTGAGGTGTATTTTAGTATCAAATGCTCCGTAAGGAAATAGCGTGTAGTGGTCTGTATTATTTTGTTTATATAACAGTAAATTTGTACATGTGTTATATCTAATTATTGGATCTATTCAATAGAAATAATAAATTGTCGACAGGCGTTAGAGATAGTTTATCTTGATTATCAGGAAGTCGATTTCTGGCGCTTGTCATGACTCTTGAGCACAGCAGGCATTATGTCGGCAATTTGTCCCTGGATGTTGGTCTTCAAATCTTGTAAGGTCCTTGGACATGAAGATCATCATGAAGAATTTTTCTTACAGATCGATCGGAAAGCAGAACGGAAAGACGCATGGAATGCTGCCCCACGAGGTTTACGATAATTAGACTTCCTACAATACCTTGGGATTTTAATAATGGGTGCTTGAAGCATATTTGAGAAAAAGTTTATTCTTTCATATTGTTGTATCGCTTATATTTCGACAACTTATTTGTTCAGAAGGACACTTAAAATCTAAAATAACCTTTGGCCACCATACTTACGTATTTCCCCCTCCTCTAAGCAAATTCAGCGTATAATCAAAATGGCTGCTCCTTCCAGGACCGTGTATAACCAGCGCACATTCACCGTTGCCGTTTCCGGGAAGATCCAGTTGTTGGAACTGGATACACGAGCTTAGATGAAACACTGTTAACGTCACTGTAGTCCATATTGTCGGGGATATGCTTCCCCTGAAACAAAAGAAATTCTTGATTAGACATCATCACTCTAAAATGGCAAAATGTTGCTGAAAAGAACGTTTAATGTATAGATAGTACCTATGATGATTTAGCTAGTCTTACATCACAATAATATTCTTCATCAGCTGCTACTAGACGGCGTGAAAGACTCCTTAGAAAATCGACATCAAAAGGTAAATATACGCATTACAGAATCTGAAACATGTCCCGTATCTTTTGGCGTTCCTCAGGGATCAGTGCTTGGGCCATTCTTTTTTATTTTGTTTGCGAATGATCGTAGCAGCAGAAGTATTGATGTTTGTAGTTGATACATCTGTAATAGTGTACGGGGAATCCCGCGAAGAAAATAATCCGCGATATTGTCATTAAAAGGCAATTACGAAACCATATTTTTAATGACAGTGGGGTATATTTCCGATCCGGTATATCTTTGGATCCCAAGTTAACCAGTCACATAAATCATATCAGCTGCATTATTTTCAAAATGGAACCCTTTCTAAACCAGGATGGCCTTTTAAGCCTATACTGTGCATTTGTTTTTAGCCATTTGTCGTTTAATATGGCCACTTGGAAAAGAAACTAGTTAGGTTCATTTTTGGCTTAAGCTAAAATGAGTCATGCAGGCAAACTTTGAAAAGCACGGAATTCTACCACTTTCGTCAATTTTTATATTCAAATATGCAACATTTTTCAAAACTAAAACGTGATCAATAAATGTCTATCTAATAACACTTTCAACTGTCCAATGCCAAATTTATAACCATGTTGACGCTGTTCGTTGATTCCACTGTCGTCTTGCCCATATATTTTGAAATCGACCAATCCAGAACCTCTCCTGAACACATCGCTAACACAGGAAAATTGGCAACGTTTCTTGCAGTGTAAACACGGCTGGCAGCACTGTAAATAATGACAATGTCACTTGTCTTTCGTCGACAGCGTCGGCCACTCTTCCAACCACCAACGCCATAGACCAACTGACCAAGTCTTTGAGAAAGAAAATGCATCCGCCTCTTGGAAATGTATAAATTTTAAGGAAACAACGGCGAAACCTGAAGTTCTACATAGGCACATCATTTGCAGATAGGGATCTGCATTTCAGAAGCACATCAACTGTTTAAAAGCACCTCTATCCAAAACATGCAGGTAGACAAACGACTGTTGCCCCAAAACAAATATTTGTTAGGTCAGATTATCTAATTGCTGAAGCATCACAGACAACAAAGTTTATTTATTTTGATTGCTCACTTCTGTAATAGTTTATATAGTTTAAAACAATATGTTTCTGCCTTATATACTTTGAAAAGTCCGATTCGTTTTTCTTAATCGCAAAGCTGCATCAAAGAGAAACAAATTGAATATCAATTTCGCAAATGAACGACAAGCGACAGGTGATATGGTCGCAAATGTCATTCGTGTTCTGTTCTGAGTAGGCGTTGTTTCCGTGTATTCGTGTATGTTTTGTGTTATTGTAAACACGTCTTCAAAATGCTCAGTTCTCCTAACACTATGATGTCGTACAACGTACACAAGACGTCCTTACGACGTTTCTGATATCTAAAAAAGACGTTTTTAAAACGTGATTGTGCTATTTGGGTTTTTTGCTTGGTCTATCTGTCTTTAATTTCGCATTCGCTCTCTTCTCGTGGTATTAATATACAATGCAGTTCAATAATTGTATAAACAGCACAGATCTTCAATGTTACTTCGTCGATCCTATATACCTCCAGGCTCCAGATGCTGACTCTAAATGACGTAATTAAATTCACGTACATCTAGTAAGCTTGACCTTCTTTCTGCAACAGGAACTTTTGTTTAATTCAGCTCAACCGGTATCGGTATCCGAAAGTATCGACTTTTTGTGGGTTAAGGAGGTTCAGAATATTACGATTGGAATTAATTAAAGTGGCTTTATTTTGGACTAGTTTGATGTCGCTACGGGGTATGATTTATATCTTCATTTTGAAGGCTCACAGCGAGTGACATGAGCGGACAAGAATGTTACACTGACTTTACAACCAAGGTTTATGGTAGATCAACGGAAATAGTCAATGAAAAAATTCGAAATCTATAAAAAAACATTATATGTATCTTGAGAATCATCGTATGCAAAATAACATTCATAAAGGTTGTGAAACACTTATGTGGGAAGTGAAACGATCGTTCCATTACGAAGAACAAACATCATCGACTGCCTATCCTCATTAACATTGCTGCAATCTGCATGCATAATCCAGCTATCTATGAGGGCGTTGCCAAGTTCAAGGTCACAGTTTCAGATCAGTCACTATACCGTTCAATGTAAAACCACGTCATATAACTGTTACCCAACGTAAGTCGTCGGTGCGTTTTCAAATGTTTCTAGAGCGTGTGCCTAATAATCAAGAGCGCCGATCAAATTAGAGGCGTTCAGACGACGTATCAATCGCGGTTCGCCACGGATTGGGCCGACAATGCACGGATTTTCTAGTACAGGGCGGGGCAAGATGAAGGAGACGTTTTTGAATAGGCGGTGCAAGGTTACAGAGAGGGATATAGAATCACGGATATCATTTGTTATGCACAATAGGCGTTCCCAATGTGTTACATCAGTTCCTTGAGTTAAGATGCACGTTGAAAATATGCGTTAGTTTGTTCTCTGTCGCTGTCGCGAAATGTAGCAATAAATAGGATTTTATTACGTTTTGTCAAAACGTTCAATGCTTTCGACGTTTTCGACAATTTTAAAAATTCTCATAGTTTACAGAGTTTTACCTACTTTCATAATTTTCTCAATTCACAAAATCTTGAAAAATTGCAGGATTTCAAATTTGAAAATTATGAGAACTTTGAAAGATGCCGAAAATTTTAAAAACATTGAATATTTTAAAAATTTGCGAGTTTAAGATTTTTAAGATTTTGTACATTTATAAATTATGCAAATTTTGAAGATTCTGAAGATCCTGAAAATTTTGGAACTCTTGGAAATGTTGAAAATTTTGCAAATTTTGAACACTAAATTTACAGAATCTTAAAAACCTCCAGTTTACATGTATTCAAAATATTCAATGTTTTCAAAATTCTCATAATATACAGACTTTTTGATGTCTTCATAATTTTCTAAATTTACAAACTCTAAAAACCTTTTAACTTCAAAATGCCGAAAATTTTGAAAACATTGAATATATTAAAAATGTGAAATTTGGGAATTCTCAAGATTTTGTAAATTTAGAAAATCATGCAAATTTTGAAGATTCTGAAAATCCTGAAAATTTTGGAACTCTTGGAAATATTGAAAACTGAACATTTTGAAAGTTTTACAAATTCACACAATCTTAGAAATCTTCAGCTTATATGTATTCAAAATAATCAATGTTTTCAAAATTATCGGCAATTTTCAAAATTTTCATAATTTACAGACTTTTTCATTTTTTCATAATTTTCTTAATTTACAATATCTAGAAAATTTTTAGAATTCCAGTTTTGAAAACAGAATTTCATAAATTTTGAAAATCTTGAAAATTATGAGAACTAGAAAATGCTGAAAATGTTAAAAACATTGAATATTTTAAAAATGTGAAAGTTGGGAATTCTCAAGATTTTGTAAATTTAGAAAATCTTGCAAATTTTGAAGATTCTGAAAATCCTGAAAATTTTGGAAGTCTTGGAAATATTGAAAACTGAACATTTTGAAAGTTTTACAAATTTACACAATCTTAGAAATCTTCAGCTTATATGTATTCAAAATAATCAATGTTTTCAAAATTATCGGCAATTTTCAAAATTTTCATAATTTACAGACTTTTTCATTTTTTCATAATTTTCTTAATTTACAATATCTAGAAAATTTTTAAAATTCCAGTTTTGAAAACAGAATTTCATAAATTTTGAAAATCTTGAAAATTATGAGAACTAGAAAATGCTGAAAATGTTAAAAACATTGAATATTTTAAAAATGTGAAAGTTGGGAATTCTCAAGATTTTGTAAATTTAGAAAATCATGCAAATTTTGAAGATTCTGAAAATCCTGAAAATCCTGAAAATTTTGGAACTCTTGGAAATGTTGAAAATTTTGCAAATTTTGAACACTAAATTTACAGAATCTTGAAAACCTTCAGTTTACATGTATTCAAAATATTCAATGTTTTCAAAATTCTCATAGTATACAGACTTTTTGATGTCTTCATAATGTTCTAAATTTACAAAATCTAAAACCCTTTCAGAATTTCAGTTTTGAAAACAAAACTTTGGAAAATCCCGAAAATTATGAGAACTTTTAAAATGCCGAAAATTTGGAAACATTGAATATTTTAAAAATGTGAAAGTTGGTTATTCTCAAGACTTTGTAAATTTAGAAAATCATGCAAATTTTGAAGATTCTGAAAATCCTGAAAATTTTTGAACTCTTGGAAATGTTGAAAACTGAACATTCTGAAAGTTTTACAAATTTACACAATCTTAGAAATCTTCAGCTTATATGTATTCAAAATAATCAATGTTTTCAAAATTATCGGCAATTTTCAAAATTTTCATAATTTACAGACTTTTTCAGTTTTTCATAACTTTTTTAATTTACAAAATCTAGAAAATTTTTAGAATTTCAGTTTTGAAAACAGAATTTCATAAATTTTGAAAATCTTGAAAATTATGAGAACTAGAAAATGTTGAAAACATTGAATATTTTAAAAATGTGAAAGTTGGGAATTCTCAAGATTTTGTAAATTTAGAAAATCATGCAAATTTTGATGATTTTGAAAATCCTGAAAATTTTGGAACTCTTGGAAATATTGAAAATTTTGCAAATTTTGAAAACTGAACATTTTGAAAGTTTTACAAATTTACAGAATCATAGAAATCATCAGCTTAAATGTATTGAAAATAATCAGTGTTTTCAAAATTTTCGACAGTTTTCAAAATTCGCATAATTTACAGAATTTTTCATTTTTTCATAATTTTCTGAATTTACGAAATCTAAAAAAATTTCGGAATTTCAGTTTTGAACATAGAACTCT